TTTAAAAGATTGTATTTATTTTATTTACTTTTAGAGAAAAGGCAAGGGAGGGAGAGAGAGAGGGAGCGACACCAATGTGCAAGAGATACACTGGGGCGATCCTCTTGCACACCCCCATCTAGGAACCTGGCCCGCAACCCAGGCATATGCCCTGACTCGAACCGGTGATCCTTTCGTTCGTAGGCCTGTGCTCAGTCCACTGAACCGCACCAGCTGAAGTTCCTAGGGCTTGTTAATAACCCCCAGAGCTTCGGACTCAGTAGGATCGGGTGGGTCCCAAGAGTTTGCATGTCTGACTAGTTCCCAGGTGGTGCTCAGGGTGCAAGTGCAAGGATCCCACTGAAAACCATGCAGCTGCACCGTGCCGTGCCCTGGGCAGTGCCACCCGCTGTGGACTGGTACAAAACGTACTTACAAACCAGGGAAACCACCACCCCTCCTGACAGGCCATGTGACCTTGAGCTCCCTGTGCCTCAGCCTCCCTGTCTGTAAAGTTACCACTGTAGTCCAGATGTAGTGAGGATGAAATGAGCAAACTGGGGACACATGCTCAGGGAGCCGTGCCAGGCACACAGGGACGTCCACTGAGCACATGACACGAGAGGATGCGAGGGAGGTGCTCTTGGACAGTGGAATGTTCCAATACATCACAGCTGCCATAGCCTGGCTGTTGAGCAGAAGGACCCCACTTACCGTGCCCACTCTCCTTTGTCACATTCCTCTCTCCAATGCCACTCTCTCATGATCTCCCACCTCGGCTGTGTCTTTATTGACAGTCAGGAGAAGCACATTCCTGTCCCACTTGCAGGAAGCTCAGAGGCAAAGTGACTTGCAGTGGGTTGAATAGTGTTTCCCCCAAATTCAAAATTCAAGTCCATCCAGAACCTCAGAATGTGACCTTATTTGGTCTTTGCAGATGTAAGTAGTTAAGGATCTAGTGATGAGATCATCATGGATTTAGTGCTTGCTCTAAGTCTAAAGATTGGTGTTTTTATAAGAGGAAGGACACGGAGATACACAAGAGATCATGTGAAGACAAAGTAGAGTTTGGGGTGATGTGGCCACAAGCCAAGGGATGCCTGGAGCCCCCAGGAGCCAGAAGAGGCAGGAAGGATGCCCTTCAAATGCTTCCAGAGGAAGCATGGCCTCATGAGACCTTGATTTAGAACTTCTAGCCTCCAGAACTGGGAGTGAATACATTTCTTTTGTTTTAAGCCACCCCGCATGAGTTTGTAGTCATGTGTTATGGTAACCCTAGAACACTAAAGACACCATCATATAGGGTTAATGTGAAGACTTAGGAGCTCATGTGGATAAAGCTTCTGGCTACAATGGCTACTTTAACAGTTAAATTAAAGCCCTGACCAGTGTGGCTCAGTGGGTTGGGCATCGTCTCAAAAAGTTAATAGGTCCTGGGTTCAGTTGCTGGTCAGGGCACATGCCTGGGTTGCAGTTTTAGTTCCCAATCGGGGTGTGTTGAGAGACAATAGATCAATGTTTCTCTCCCTCTCTTTCTCCCTCCTTCACCCTCTCTGTAAAAATAAGTAAAATCTAATTTTTATTTTTATTTTTTTTAAGATTTATTTATTTATTTTTAGAGAGGGGAAGGGAGGAAGAAAGACAGGGAGAGAAACATCAATGTGTGGTTGCCTCTTGTGTGCCCCCTACTGGGGACTTGGCCTGCAACCCAGGCATTTGCCCTGAGTGAGAATCGAACTGGCGACCCTTTGAAGGCCAGTGCTCAATCCATTGAGCCATGCCAGCCAGGGCTAAAGTCTAATTTTTTTCTTTTTTTTAAAGTCAAACTAAAATGTTTTCCTTTGATGAAGCCAGGCTTCTGGGACCAATCTTCCAGGGTTCAAAAATCCCACATGGGTTCCAGCTGTGTGGTCCCAGACAAGTTGCACTGCCCCTCTGTGTCTCAGTTTCCTCATCAGGAAACTGAGAATCACAGTAACACCCACTTCATGGTGGGAGAAAGGATGAATGAGTCATCCGCTAGTATGTACAGAGCAGGGCCTTGCCTACGCTAAGCCCCTCAATGAGAATTCACCATTTACCCTCATTATTTGACCTAGATTCTGATTGCTGAAACTTAACCCAAAGAAATAATAATTTAAAAAAATCAAAAGAGCAAAGATGTTCAAAATGGCATCTTTGAACATCTTTATCTACACAATTATCTACAAAAGCAACAAGTTGGAAACAACCCAAAGACCAACTCTTTTTTTTTTCTGTTCTAACAGATTGTATTTCTAATGACGCATGATAAAAATTACTATACAACTCTCTCAAATAAGAAATGAAGGCTGAGCTAAGAAAAAAATATCCATTTAAACTGGTGACCTGCTGGAGGCTGTTTTACTACCGTGAAAGTGACACAATAGTGTGTAAATGGCATGTTTTAAAGTTCTATTTTGTATAGGGATTTTTTAAAATTATATTTTATTGCTTATGCTCTTACCATTGTCCTGATTTTGCCCCCTTTACTCCCCTGCACCCAGCACCCCCCACCCCCTCAGGCAATCCCCCCACCGTTGTTCGTGTCCCCAGGTCACGCGACGTGGGTCAACCCGAAGACCAACGCTTGACAGAACTTGATACAGGCCTTCAGGAACTGGAAACTACCTCAAAAACAGCAGCACTAGCACAACATCATTCAATTAAAAAAACAAACAAAAAAAAAGACAGTGCAGAGAACTGCATGTGCCAGTGCCACAACCAGGTAACACTGTACCTGCTGGCTGCCAGGTATGATAAGGCACAAGGACAACTGTAAGGGTTACAGGGCTGCAGTGTCCAGCGCACTGCAGTTTCCTCGCACGGAACACATTCCTTATAGAAAATGTGAGAATGAGGCTCTGCAGAGAGCGCTGGGCATCCGGGCTCCTGGGCCTGGGTTGTCTTGGTTTAGCACAGGGAGAAGGGTTCCGTGCCCGGCCCTCCCTCGGGCACACCCACGCCTGAGTTGGCCAAGGCTGGGGGAGGGCTGAGGGTGGGCAGGGCACTGGCCCCAGAGAGCTAGCACTGAAAAATGTATGAGCAAACCTGCTTGGTGCTGCTGGCTCCCATTCCGGCACTTAGCTCCTCCAGGGCTTGGCCGGAAGAGGAGGCCCTTTTAGAAGCTCCCAGCCCCAGGAGCACTCAGCCTGAGGCTCAGGCTCTCAGGCCTGGGTGGGGTGGGGTGTGGGGGTGCTCAGCACCTACAGGTCCTCGGTTTCTCCCGGGGGTGAGTTCCCAGCCTACCTTGGGCTGGAAGATAAGTGGCCCCAGAAGTCCCTTCAGGGACTTAGATGTCCTGACACAACAGCCAAAAGTGGAAGCAGCCTCGTGTCCCTCCGGGGATGAATGGACAAAGCAACTGCGGTCTACATCCACAATGGAATATTATTCAACCTTATGAAGGAAGCTCTGACACGCGCTATATCATGGATGGACCTTGAAGATGTTATGCTGAGTGAATAAGCCAGATACAAAAAGACAAATACTGTACGATTCCACTTATGTGAGGTCGCTAGAGCAAACTCATGGAGACAGAAAGTAGGACGGTAGGTACCAGGGGCTGGGGGAGGGGGAGTTAGGGTTCAATGGGGACAGTTTCAGTTTGGGAAGGTGGGCAAGTTCTGGAGATGGACGCTGGTGATGGGTGCACAACAATGTGAATGTACTTAATGCCCCTGAACTGTGCACTTAATGACAGTTAAAATGGTAAATTTTATGTTATGTATATTTTACAACAATAGAAACCAAAACAAAAAGCTTGTCCTGACTACCTACTCTGTGCTGGGCACTGGGGAGACCTGCAGCGGAGCCTAAGGAAGAGGGTCCTGGACCTCTAAGGTTTGGTCTCTGGACCCAAGCCCTGGACTTCCGCCCCCTACAGATACTCACTCAGTCAACACCTATCACAACTCCTGCCCGGGCTCAGCCTGGAACCTCAGAGGGACCAGGCCCTGGAGGGACATGGGTTGTTTAGGTCCCTTTAGCACCCCACACCCACTTTGCCAACAATACCCCGATTTTCTCCAGGGGAACCAGTGCCCCCTCCTTGCATGCAGTCTTGGAAGAGCTGCCCATCAAGTTGCCCTGCCCCCACTGAGGGACAGGCATAAGCCCTGAGCTGGACCAACCGGATGCTCTCCCAGGGGCCACTCATTCCAGCCTTGGGGCCAGAAGTAATGAAACCTGAAGGATGGTCTTTCATCCCGGCCTGACCTTCCTGTGCCTCCTGACTTTCTATGGCGGAGGGACGGAGCCAGGGGCAGCTCCCAGACATCCAGGAGAATCAGGGTTGGTGAGCAAGGGGCCATCCAGGGAGACTCGCAGGTCTCAGGCCGGGGAGACATGGGGTGGGAGCATTTGTCACAGCACAATGAATGGGCTTTGATGGGAGTCTCCGACTGGGCCATATTGCTCTGGGTGCCCCCAGGTCATCCGGACGCTGAGCAGAATGGTCTAGAGCACAGGACAGAGGTCTGGGCTGCGTCTGCCAACACTACAATGCCTCTCCGTAATTCTGTGTCCTTCTAGAACTTTCTCCCTGATGTCCTTTCCCCTCTCCCAGTTTGCCTTTGCTAGCCTCTGGCAGGCTGAACCTGTTTTCTGGGTGATAACAGGTCAGCGGGGCAGAGAGCAAGTACCCTGTGCGTGCCTGGTACCTATGTCTAGAGCCTCTTACTCCCTCACTCTCCACAACCAGGGGTTAATCCCACCGAGGGGAAACTGAGACCCAAGAGGCGCAGTGACTTTCCCATGTCACTCAACTGCCAATGAAAGAAAAGGCCTGGAGGAGCCCTCAGAGTAAGAGCAAGTCTTTCTAGGGCACCTACTGTGCACAAGTGCTGCCTTAAGTGGGAGGGGCCACACGCTGTCCAGGGCAGCAACACTAGGGTCTCAGGGTCTGCCCTCTCCTGCCTCATTCCTCCTCCTGCCCACCGGACCGCCACCCCAACCCCACCCCACCACCATCAGAGCTGGTGAAGGAGAGCCGCCCACCTTACCTTTCAGACAGGACAGCTTAAGCCCCATGGCGGCGCCTGTGCGGGCCTGCGGAGAGAGCAGAGGCTTGTTTGTATTGGCCACGTGTGGCCCGGCCCCCACCCCCAGGCCCTGATGGGTGCACAACAGGAAGTAGTGGGGAGAGAAACTAGGGCCTCCAGGTCGTGGCGCCTGCTGACTACATCTGGGCTGAATTTGCTCAAAGCCGAGTCTGTGCTGGCGGAAAAAACTTTCAGGCGCCTCAAAGCTAAATATACTGGAGGCCGGCTGTGGTCTAGGGTAAAGTTGACGGTGAGGGCGTGGTCGGGAGCTGATGATGTGGAACCCACACCACCTGGCCTTTCCTTTTAGGGACCACAGATGGTGGCTGACTTTATGCTGTGAGGACCCTCAGCCACGCTGGACCCTCGGCCAGGCCAGGTGCCCCTCTTTTATTTTTATTATTTATTTATTTTTATAGAGAGAGGAAGGAAGGGAGAAAGGAGAGAAACACCGATGTGAGAAACATCGATCGGTTGCCTCTCATAGGCATCCCATCCAGGGACAGCGCTTGCAATCCAGGCATGTGCCCCTCACGGGAATCAAACCGGCAACCTTTCGCTTTGCAGTTCGACGCCCAACCAACTGAGCTACATCAGCGAGGGCAGGTGCCCCTCTTTTCAAGTGCAGATTTTTTGGAAATCTAACAGATTAATCTATACAGGGTATGTGGTCCCCAATCCATGAGCATTAAAATTGTCCCAGCCAGTGTCCCCATGACCTTCCTGCAATGTGATGCATCCTTAGCGTCCTGAGGACTCAATGAATAGAGGTAGCAGTTGACGGTGCCCGAGCACCTGCATGCTCTTGACACTCAACCCTCAGCCACAACCATGTGAGGCGTTATTACTGTACCCATTTTATAGATGTGGAAATCAAAGCTCAGAGAGGTGGTGTCATCCAGCTTACTATGAGAGTGGAGCTGGGATTTGAACACGGGACTGCCCTTCCCCCCAGCTGGGGCCTTTGAGGCTCCTTTCCACTTCGGAAGGTTTCCTCAGTCTTTGAGGGGCCGATGGTGGGGAGCTCACCCCTCTATCCACAGGTTGTCCCCTGTGTGCCAGGCTGATGAGGGGAGAAGAGTGGAGAGTGGCCATGAGAAGTGACCCTGAGATCTCTGACACAGGTGTGTGGCCCAGTGAGAGCCCCAGCCCTCCACTCTGAAATCCACAGTCTGCTTTTCCTGCCTGCAGGCTGGGATCTAAGGCAGGTGCCCCTGACGCACAACTCTGGCTTTGCCAACCATTCTTGGACGTTCCCTGCCCTTCCAGCCACCCTCGATCCCTGCTGTCAGACCTCCCAACCTCCCAGCCCCAGCCCCATTCCCCACACACTCCCTATCCTGGCAACTGACATGAAAGAGGACCCCACACAAGTGGGCACCATCCCTATCTAGATTCTTAGACTAGTAGGGCAGACAGACACACCAACTGGCCCTGACAGAGGCTTGGTGAGCCCAGCGGAAGCAGAGTGAGGCCAGGGGTACAAAGGAGGGTTCCTGCCCCAGCCTGGGAAGCCTGAGGAACACGTCCCTAAAGAATACGGGAATGCCCTGGCCAGGTAGCTCTGTTGGTTAGAGCGTTGTACTGATAGGCCAATGCCAAGGTTGCGGGTTCGATCCCTGATCAGGGCACGTACAAGATTCAACCAATGAATTCCTAAATAAGTGAAACAACAAATCGATGTCTCTCTTAAATCAATATATACCTAAAAACCTAAAAACCTAAAAAAAAGATAGGCAGGAGTGGGTCAAGCAAGGAATAGCCTCTCAGGCCCCAGGAGTAGAGTGTATGACGGTCCGGAGGACAAGAAGGGCATGGCTCATGGGAGGGACCAGAGGGTGGGAGGCTGGAGAAGGAATAAGAGGAAAGGCAAAGATGAGCTAGACCTTGAGGGCTTTGGAGGCTGGTTACAGGGTTCAGAGGTTATTTTGAGGAAACCAAGCAGCAAGCCTGCATTGTAGGAGGCTGTCTGGGCCAGGGGCCAGCTGGGAAGCACCAAACACCAAGGCCCCCAGACCGTCCCCACATGGGTGGTGCTGCTGGGCCCGTGGCCTCAGCACCGTTGGGAGCTTGTTAGCAATGCAGCATCTCAGGCCCACCCAGACACACTGAGCCAGAATCACTATTTTAACAAGGCCCCCTGGGATCCATGTGCTTATTAAGTTCGGAGGAGCTCTGCTCTGGGCCAGAAATTGTGGAGCCTGAACTTTGAAGACAACGGGGAAGTAGGAGGAGAAGCAGCTGCACGTCTGGGTGACACACAGGCTTTGGAGATGGTGGGACCCCAGGAGGGGCTGGTTGGGAGGAGGGGCCAGGATAAAAGCTTCCATTTTAGCCAGATTGGTTTTGTGGGGAGGGTAGGAGGTGGACTGGAGACATGCACTAGGAGATGGAGCGGGGAGACTGAGGAAGAGGGGAGGGAGGGAGAGAGTAAGAAAGATACTGAGAGAGGGACAGGAACTGAGGGAGCCAGACTCAGGACGCTGTGTGGAAAGGGAAGCATTTCCCACTCAGGAGCAGGCCCCCGAGCGGTAGCTGTCCTGGCTGGGACCAGAGTCTGGCTCAGCCATGTGACCGCAGGCAGGTTCCTAACCATTCTAGGCTTTGTTTTTCTCATTTTAAAAATGGGGATGATGCACTGGAAGCCTCATCGAGTAGCAGCGGGACCTCAATGTTGAGGGCGATGGCTGTAAAAGGACTTCGCTCTGTGCCAGGCACAGAGCAGAAGTCCAAGAAGTGTCAGCTCCTATCCTTTAGGACATTGGCAGAGGGACGGGCGGTATCGGACCCCGGGGGGGGCCTTTTCTGCAGGGTCATGCTCCTCAGAGTGTGGTCCTGGACCAGCAGCACAGGTACCACTGGGAGCCTGTGAGAAATGCAGGCTCTGAGGTCCTCCTTGCCCCCCCCCCCCCCCCCGCCCCCCGCACCTGAAGGCTTCAGGAGATGCATTTCAATGAGACCCATGGGATGCTTGTTACCGTTTAAGCACCGCATCTTCCCAGCACATTGGCACACAGGTATTGCCTGGGTGCTTTTAAAAAATACCTATGCCTCAGTGCCATCCCAGAGATTCCAGGATAATTGGCTCAGGGTGCGGCCAGGCACTGGGACTTTTAAAAGCCCTACAAGGCAAAAATAAAATAATAAAATAAAATAAAATAAAATAAAATAAAGTAAGAGCCCTATGAGGGATTCTAATGTGCCCGGTGAGATGTTAAGGACAGGGAATCCTTCTCAGAGGAAAACGATGGGCTGGAGCTGGAGGAAGAGGAAGACCAAGACCTGGCCTGTAGGAACAACGGGCACCTTTCTTGAGCGTTCACTGTGTGCCTAGCCCTCGGCAGAGGCCCTTGACAGAGATTCATCATCAGTTAATCCTCACAATAGCCCCGTGAGTTTGGGACCATTTCTATCCCCACTTCCCAGATGGGAAAACTGAGGGACCGAGAGGACAGTCAGCTTGGACTCTAGAGCCCACACTTCCAAACACAGAGCTTTTGGGTAGATGGTAGCCCAGACCTTACTTCTGTCTCTCTCCCCAGCCCTCCCTAGGCTGTGTCTGCTCCCACCCCAGGGCCCCTGCAGCCAAGGCCAGATCATCAACAAATAAACCCAGGACCTGATGGCCGCTGTAAGAAAGACACAACATCATGGCCACATGTGCGCGGTCTGCGCAGTGCACTCTGATTTTATGGTCTATATTCTTTTCTTTTTTAAGTGTTGGTCATAACCCACTTAACAGATTTTACAACACATCCCATCCCAGGGTTTGAACAATGATTTATGCTGAAGTCTCCTCATAGATGAATCAGTGTCAGGACTTAGCTGTAAAATACTCCAGAAAAACAAGGGGTGCAGGGCAGACACACAACGAGGGCAGGGGGACGCGGTCTGCTGCTGAAGCTGGGAAATGGGAGTTCATTACACACGTGTGTGTCTGAAAAGTAGAAAACAGCCAAAGGAAAGACAACCGTCTACCAGGTGACAGGACAGGGCCGACGTTCTGTTTTCTGATTTAGATCATTGCGCTGTATTCTGTAAGAGGGTCCTCACTTTGAGGAAACACTGAAGTGTTTGGGGTCAAGGTCATCGTTTCTGCAACTTAACTTTCAAACAGTTCAGCCAGAAAATAATAACATGCATGTGTATGTACAGAGAAAGCCGATAAAGCAAATGTGGCTAAGTGCTCACGTCTAGTGCTGAATGTACAGGAGCACTCTGTGCCCTTGCAACTTTCCTGTAAACTTCAGGCTATTTCAAGAGAAGAAGTTGAGAAAGGAAGAGAAGCAGAGACAGAGCAACTCAGTAGGTTACATCTCTGTGCCCAACCCCACTGCCTCCCAGCAGCCACGCACAGGGTGCGGTTTTGCGCATCAGATCCCGCTTTCCCAGCCCTCTCTGACACGGCTGGCTGTGCATCCCAGGGGCTGGGGCTCTGGCTTGGGGAGGGCTCTGTGCTATGCTGTGCCAGGAGCACCAGCTCCCAGAAGAGTTGTCCTGAACTGGTAGGTTTTGTCCCCAAAGCTGTCTTGTAACTTTAAAAATATGTATCTAATCCCGGCTGGGTGGCTTGGTTGGTTGGAGCATCGTCCCGTACACCAAAAGGTTGCAGGTTCGATTCCCAGTCAGGGTACACATCTAGGTTGAGGGTTCAGTCCTTGGTCTGGGTACGTATAGGATGCAACCGATCAATGTTTCCCTTTCTCTCTTTTTCCCTTCCTCTCTCTCTAAAATCAATAAACATCTTTGAGTGAGGTTTAAAAAAAAAAAACCCAAAAAACCTATCTTAAAACACTCAGGGAAGGAAGAAAGGAAGCAAGAAAACAAAACAAGAGGATGCGGGCCCTGACTGGTGTGGCTCAATAGCTTGGGTGTTGTCCTGCACATCGAAAGGTCGCCAGTTTGATTCCTGGTCGGGGCATATGCCTGGGTTGCAGGTTCAGTCCCTGGTTGGGCTGCATATGGGAGAAAACTGATTGATGTTTCTCT